CATGTGCAACATTTGGCAAACTATTATTTTCCAGAAGTATTGACTGCTTGTGATATTGGTGAAGCTTGGATGGCATCCGGCAGTGCACTGGTTTCGGCACCATCTTTACAAAAAGGAATAGCTCTAGAGATGGAGTTGACTATAGCGGAAGGTAGGAGTTGAAATGGATAATTGCAACATTCTTATGTATCACTTTTAGGTTTCTCCAACCCTATGGCTCCAGTAGACCAACCACTATCGCCGCAAGCTCCTGTGGCTCATGTTTCTATCGTTTTCGAGACAACTTGCGCTGATAGCTCTTGCGTGCTCTACATGATCGAGGTGGAGTCGAGCGTTTTGAGCATAAGTTTAAAGTGGACCAGGAATCAGTTTTCTATTTCTTAGAGCCCCATGGAACGGACGAAAACTTCTCAGTTCCGGTTCCTTGCTGCTTTTAACGGTACCCAACCACGGCGAGTCTGGTCTCATAGCATTTTGAGAAGAAGAGCTGCTCGGTTCTTGGTTGGTTTTTGTAAAAATAGTAATTTCATAGTTTGGAGGAATTTTTCAAGCAAACTTGGGATCTATCTTATCTATCTATCTTATGTAGAGTAGTTAGTGGTCTTGATCAACCCATCCTTAAATTTTGTGTCACTGGCCGAGAAATTTTACTCTTGCCCAATACCGTAATCTGTCCGAGTCTCTAACGGTGCTGGGCTTTAGAGTTTGTTTTCTCGGCCGCAAATGATGTTAATGAGAGCTGCTACTTTGGCAACAGCTTAGCTAAATCCTTCGAATCGATATTCACACGAAAAATCTTGAACCCAAATTTGCCGAAAACCTCATATCGACCAGCCATAAACAAATTCAGGTAGCATTCCTTCGCTCTGGCGCGACATCCGGCGATGACGCGATCTTGGATCAGGCTCGTATTTTATCCGTCAATGTGACAAATGTCGGAACAAAAAATGGCAAACAAGGTGGTGGAGCAAGCCGATGTCTACCATGTCCTTCGGGCCAATTTGGGCAATGCATACCGTGTCCACCCGGGCATTTCATGACTCCTGGGGTGAGATTTGTGCTTGCATGAGCTTTCTAAATTTTTATTGGTTTTTTT